CTAACCCTTTTGACTCCCCCCTGGCCGCTCCCCCGAGCTGCCCTGCGTCCCCCGCGGACCCCGCACCCTTTCCTCCCGTAAACCGCCCTGCACCACCCTACGACCGCTGGACGCAATAATAAACAACCGCCGGTCGCTATGGCGACGCGTCCATCGCGCGCGAACAAAACACTGGACTCTCTCCCTCGCGTCGTCACTCTCTCTTTCCCTCGCTTTCCCTCGCACCCTTTCGTATGCCTCTCTTTCAACTACCCTGCTGCCGCCACCGCCGCTGCCGCCGCTGCCGCCGCCGCCGCCGCCGCCGCCGCCGCCGCCGCCGCGGTCCCGTTAATCGTCCTCTCTTTCTCCACGCACGGTAGTCGCCGGGTTTGTCGCTCGCGCTGTTACACGCGTGCTGGGGCCGAACGACAAAGTCGTACGTATACGAGTGACGTTAAAGCGGGACCATTGGCTTGGTCCAGATTGCATCGGATGTACTCTTGGTCGGATTGTTGAGGTTTTGGGGTGTACCCGACCGCCGGATGCGCGCTCTGGCCCCGATAATCCATGGAGAAGCAAACCTTTCGCCATCATTCAGATTGTCTGGTCACTGGCAGCCTAGATTATCTACCATGATCATTTAGGTGTCATGAACGCGCGTTGAATCATGAGCGTTGCGAAACGAATGCAAACATGCTCAGTTTCGACTCTGGCAGTCGATATCGTTGGAGTTCCGTTATTATATATCGCCACCCTATTTATATATTAACTCGACACGCGTCTAGCTATAGATGAGTGAAAAATCGATCGACAATAGGGCCGTCGACATGTAGTTTAATGAGTTTTTATCATCTGATTTATGAGAGATTGAGTTATATAAAATAGTGATATAGACCACACAATAATCAAGTAGTTTGTAACAAGAGCAACAATCTGATTTGTAATAACGTTCAGGTCTTCGCTGTTGTATACTTGACTGTTTCGGTAACAAGCGCGAAATATCGCCGACAGCTTGTCAGTTGACATTTGGACGCACGTAACTTCTACGGGCCTGGCGGATTGCGTGCTTATCTGTTTATTAAAGCGGTGCAACCACCTTCCCGTAATGGCGTGTGTCGGATGCGGGGTTGAACGAGTACTACCTCGTAACCCGTATCAGAATGGATGGAAAAGTACCTCCGTGTCGCCATCTCTGTGCTGGGTATCGAACATCGTTTCATATGCTCCGTGCCGGGAATACGTCCGGGTGCGAAAACCCATTTATTTATGTTAAAAAAGATAAATTAAAAAAAAGACGCAAAATTCGATCGAACATCATCAAACGTAGAATCGTGTCGATCGTGGTAGGATGTTATCGATCCAACTATACGCAGGGTGTCGCGTTAGCAAAAAATATCTCAATGTGCGTTTATAGTTTCAGCATAGATATATACTTGAGTGATATTTATGCATTGCAATTATATATTTGCAAAACATCATGTGTTAGGGACTGTTTCGAGATTCCGTCGTTAATCCCTTCAATTCCGCACGAATCTCTCGTCTTTGAGTGCTTTTTTTCCACGATCGCCCTTTCGTTCCGAAGTTTTTTTCATCAAACGTTCGCAATATCGCGCGTAGTTGCGTACGTCTGTGAAGAATCACGTATTTGTTCCAACGAAGAACAACACTCGGCACTCCTCTCTTCTCTGTCTGGCTTTTAGTAACTACTTTTAGTTGTTCGGGAAAGCCGTCTTCTTCTGCCGCGCGTACACCACCCACACCCCATGGTTCTCTCGCTCGCTCTTCGTGAGTCTGCAACCACCCCCGCCGAAACCGCAAGCCCCCTTCACCCGCCCCTCGCTCTCACACCACACAGCTACTAACCGTTCAGGAAATGTTTATTCTGGCCTTTTACGGAGTGTTCCAAAGGATTTTTGGATTTTGCCCGTCCCCGCAATCTGGAAGTCAATGACCTCCTCCGTGGAGGCCCTACGACTTCCTTGATGTCGAATTAATGTTTGCTCCCGGATCATTTCGACTTTTTTTTACTTGCGATTATCTTCGTCTTTCCTTGACAATTGACTACGTTCGTACTGCCTTGCCATCGAAATCCTCCAGAAGGGAAAAGAGCTCCTTTTCTTCAAGAATTTTATTTTAGGAGTGAATTAAAATAAGATATAGTGCATTTATGTGAATTCACGTAAATGAGTTTATCCTCACTTCCTCGAGGTGTCCTGTTCCATATTCGTAAATATGTAAAAATATCACGGAACGGACAAACCGAAAACTGTTCGGTGTCTTTGAGAATGGGAGTTCTCAGGGGATCTTAGCTCCCACGCAGAGAGGAGAACGTGGATGTCGGCAGTGGGCTGGTCAGGCCACAGCACCGCCCCTCGACCCTCGACTTACTTTTGCCATCTTGCCTCCGATTCTGCGGTTAGCCCCACTTCGACCAGAAACCAGGGAAGCCGGCTTGTATCTGTCGGTCGCAAACCGGACGCGCGAATCGGGCATAACACATGGCGTGCTCCAGCAAGAAGCATCGTTTTTCATCTGTCTCTCCGTTGGAGAGATGCGCGACTCATAATTTCTCAGATCGGCAGTGTAAATATTAAATCGGTACGAGATCGTTCCTCTTACGTGCGAATAATTTTGTGGAGGAATTTCGTGTCGGCAGCTTCCAAACTGTATTACACTTCCTTTAATTAGTGTCAAGATGCAAACGCGATGCTGCATGGGTACTTGTTGTGTCGTGACGTCAGAGATCGGTAAAAGAGACACCGGGTCAAGTGAATGTCGGGCATGTGTCTCGTTAATGCGTTTATCGTGAGAGAAACAGTGGGAAAAAGAATCGTAAAAAAAGAGAAAAAAATACAAGAGAAGAAAAAACTTTTTTTTTTTCGAAAAATGTATGGGGAGAATTTTATGGTAAAAAATATTGTAGAAGTTAGTAACCGAGAGCAGTAAATCAACATTCTATATTAATTCACTATTTTTTCATTTCATATGCGCTACATATGTTTTAGAAACTGAAATGTACTATTAAAACTGTGTTTCTAGCAAAATTTACCATGTCCCTCAGTAAGGATAGACCTTACTGACAGTTTGTTTCTGGACTACTAAAAACAGTAAAAATGAAAAAGAAAATAACTGAGAAAAAAATATTTGGTATTTGTAACTATAATCACATGAAGAAATAATTATTATAAATTATAGAATCAAGAGAACTATTTTTTAATTAAATTCTATTATAATGTTGATGACAGTAATTTTATATGTATATTACTACTACCATTTTTGGGATAATAAAAAAATATGATTAGGGTGAAAATAATTATAATTTTAGTTGGATCAATAATTTTCTTTTATAATTTATGTAGAATTTATATAAAAAAAATTTATATAAAAAACTTTATATGAAAAAAATAATATAATATTTTGTCCGTGTATGTAGCAAAAATATTTTTATTATAAAAGGTACGCTTTCTTTTTCATTCTTTCTCTCACAATAAATACATAACAATACACAACATGACCCTTCGCCAACTTGACCCGGCCTCCCCTAATCATGCTCTCGACAGCACTTTACCGTCGAAGCCTTATACCTGTAAAACGATACCAGAGCGATGGCTAATGCTATATACATGCGCGACATGCGGTGATGTTGCAACATGTACCGACATATGTACGTGATGCACCTAACGATAGGCTATGATTATTTAGGTAGAAATGAGCCGGAGAGAGAGGCACGGATTCGCTGGCACGGAATGCTATGCGATGATTTTTTTTCCCTTCCACCCAATGACCAGAAATCGATGCGAATGCATCATGTATGTATCCATTGAACGGCGCCGCGCCACCAAGCTCTCGATCAATGATGCATTTTCATTACGCGATTCGGGCTCGGCCGCGGAGTATCACGCAGCAACAGGGAGCGGGCCTCGTTTTTAGCCGCGTATGCAAATCGAGCATCTCGTTAGCCCGCGCGGCGTACAAACAATTTCTTACGGACATCGATCATTTTTATGGATGACGTGCTACTGTTGCACACGTGACACGACGCAATTTGGCGTGTGTGAGCACTCTAGCGAGCACTTTGTGTCGCTGCATAAACGTAATCGAATCCGCCGCGAAGGTATCAACGGTATATCCGTATTTCTCATTTTAACCACAGGCACTGCACTCGTGTGCGTGATCCAGACTCGCGATGAAACGCGATCTACGCGCGACCGAGGTGTTTGAAAAATTTCCCGGCAGAAGTCTCGATTTGCTTGAGGAGGATTTTCTCACGCGTCGTTCGCATCGTTAAAGAGATATGTCCATGCGTTTCCGAAACGACTCGTGTGAGACCCATTGGCCCACGCGCGGGAGCCGCGACAAAGGAAGGACTCGCGTAATGACGAGGGCGCGGAAAATCGGACGTGTCCGGCTGTGCTCTCCACAGCGTCCAGCCAGTGTGGCGCGGCGTGGAACGCTGTGCGCGCGGCCATAATAATAATTTTTACAAGCCCGCGTGTAATCAAGGCTGCACGTTACACATGTTCGTCCGCGGGCACCCCCTACCCACGGCACGTACGACTCCCCTCGCCGGCGTCGTAGGGGTGGTCGTGGCACGTGGTAGGGTTGGCCACTCGCGGGAGGGGGCGCAGAGGAGCAACGGGGAAAGGAGAGCGCTCGGGGTGCCAGCGGGGTGGTTCATGGATGGCGAGGAGAGGAGATCGACGGTGGAACCGAGACGGAACACGTTCGTGGTGCGATGCGGCGGTGTGCGAGTGGGAACGGCGGGGGCTGCTAGAGCGAGACACGGCGAAGGGGGGCCGCGCGAGAAGGGGGCGAGGGGAGGGCGGAGGAGGCGGCGTAGTATTCACGCGGCACGGTTGCTGGTGCTGCTGCTGGCTGCTGCTGTTGTTGCTGCTGCTTCTGCTGGCGCCCCGGTCCGCCGTTCTCTTCGTGTATTGTTGTCCAATCGAGCGTACCGACGAGAACCGGTTTTCAAGCCGGACCACGCGCGCACCAATATCCTCGTATACGGTACAGCACGAGCTTTTTTTTTTGAGCCGGTCATTGAACAACGGGATGTTATTGGTCGATCGCCGTGACACATGCTCGCGTGCACTGGGATCGGAGATCTGGTGAATGCTGTTTGTATCGTTGCTGATTTCATCGACGATACGATTGCCGCAATCGTAATAGACACCGATCGTCTAGAAGCCGCATCGATTGGCTATTGTTTGTAGATCCTCAGGTGGTGTATCTGTTATTGTTGCTGTTATTGTTGTCGTCGTTGTCGTCGTCGTCGTCGTCGTTTCGTCGCGGGGATCGGTGGGAGAATGCGATCCTTCGTACGTTCTGACGCATGGTGGTGCATCGGATTGTTGTACACTCGATGTGATCCACTCGATTACTGGCCGGGTTGTCGTTCTCCCAGTGTGTGAATCGAAATGAACATAACGATAACCACAGTCTTTCTATATAATTGTAGCGCACGACCGTTCGATCGAGTCTATAATAATTCTTCGCAATATCCGCGCGATAATTGCTCGTTTTCGCTGCCACGTGTTCGTGCCTAGATTCGAAGATCGGCGTGGTCGGGCAGTGTCATCATCGATTGATTGTGGTCTCCTGTAAAACCCATCAAGCCTTGATGGGATTGTCACGTGTTGGTGGGACGTTTGTGAGCTCGAGAGTCATCGTGGAGCGAAGAGTGTCGTGCTGGAATTGACCAGTCAGGACCCGCGATGAACGATGGTTCTTTCGATCGATCGCAATTCGCGGCGTCGTACCGAAAGAACGCATTCGATTTGCGAGAAGAGCGGATTTTTCATTTCGGATTGCCAAGGAGTAAGTGAGTATCCATCGATCTCTCCGGTTTTGAATCATTTCACGAATTTCCACTCACCGTCCACCGACAGTGAGAGAGAGATTTGCCGGTAAATAGTAAAACGTAGATGCGCTGAAAAAAAATCTTGCTTTATTCCGTCGATCAGGAGCAGTCACGCCTATTAGATCTCACACGCGCAATTTTCGTCTCATAATAAATTCTCATTCAATTAATTTGTTATTACAGTCGCCGACGCGACTGTGCGAGCGAAGCACGCGTATAGGCGAATAGACACATCCATATTTTATTTCGCGAACATGAGACATTAGTGACTCGCGGTAACAATTATATCGGTAGCGCGGCTCATTAATTAACGTCGTTCAATGCGTCGCTATATCGAGTCGTATCCTGTAACGGTACACGGTTGTATCTCTATGAATAGAAACGCGCGGGACAATTGATCGACTCTTTCGGTGCGCCGGTGAAATGATGAAGCATCGGCGAGCGCAGTGTTAATTTCTCTAAATTTGTCGACGCACTCCGCGACCGCTGTTCCGCGTCACAGAGTTCGTTTTATTCCGTCACAAAACCGTCACGAATTAAAAAGACGAGAGGAAGAAGCAGACACATCAAGTGTGTCCCGGCAATCGAATGAGACGATCGTAACAAAGCCGCTGAGAATGTAAGAAAAGATCGCGTCGTCACGATCGCCCTTCGACGCGCGTCGCGTCGGACTTTTCCGCAAAACGAGATCCGCGTACTCGCGGGTGGGCGGGCGGGCGGGCGGGCAAAGAAACGCCGGTGCTCGTGGAGTACCAACGGCGTACCTGACTCGTCGCCGGGCCCGGCAGTTGATCGGAGCGTGACGAGCGGTAATTGAATGTAGGTATGGCATTTGCATTGACAAGCTCCAACAGAGATAATTCGAATCTCGTCGAACGCAGCGGTCCACACGGGCGTTAGGTCGTTTGTCAATACGACGGCGGCCGTCCAGTTTCCACGTTTCCAGCGGTATCGCTGTTTGTCACCGTCTCGTCGACGATCGTTCGCCGCTGAATACCGGCGCATACTTCTGCCGGCCGAGAGCGAGAGCGCGTTTCGTTCCGTTTCGCGAGTCGCGCCGCGCTGTTAAACGTCACTGGCGGCGAAACGGTCGAATATTATTACGTCGATGTTGCTTCCTGAATTATTATCCGCCCTGTTCTCCTAACTCTCTCGCTCTCTCTTTCTCTGTTTGCGTTGCGCGAAAAAAGGTGTATTTGAGGAAGGAAGTTGTCGGCCGGATTCAATTCGAGGAGATATACGCTCGTATCTGATCGGAATTCAAGTCGCTTCGATAGAAATTCTCTCCGTGGAAAGTTTCATATTGAAGAAAAAAAATTGCAATATAAATTTGGTGTATATGGAAATAGAGAGATGTAAAAAATATCGCATCTCCGACCGTGAAGAGGGATGCTAAGGCGTCGTTTGGACGCGCGTCGATTCGATGCGAAAAAATCTGGCCAAATCTGTTGATTTTATACGACTGGATATCCGCGCATATCCGTAGAACCTCGAGTGTTTACCGGAAGGTCCACGACCGGTTGGATATCGTCAGGATATATTCGCGCAGGAAATGGGTAGTTCCATTGTTTGCACATTCGTACAAACAGTGCAACTGCGAGGATGCGCCGGGACCTCTGTTTGATTTTCGAAAGTGAAGCTTCATTGTACGAGATACCGGGCGCGAGTGTTCCGATGCATATGAAACAACGATGCGTTTCGAGAAAAAAACGCAGATGTCGGCCGGCTGGCAGGAACGATCGATCCAACGCGAGCGTTGCAATACCGATAACTGCAAAATCGCACGAGCAATATTTTCGCCAAGTTTAACGCACCCGCTGTTGTCGAATGCCGGAAGTTCCGTTTACACCCGAATTCGCACAATGTCGCGTCTGACGTCATTAATTTTCTGGCGAACTTTTGCTCGGCCGGTTAATCGAAAAGCATATCGCAAGGCGACGATGGTAGATTCGCGAGAGCCACGCACGCGAACGAAAGAAAAGAGTGTGTGCACGCGCGCGAGAGCGGGCGCGCGTGCGAAAGCGGCCGGAGGAGGAAACCGATCCGATCGGGGTTCGATAAATCGATCCAAGTCCCGGCTCCCCACCGATGTCCGGCATACGCTAGCCATACTGCAAAAGGGTCGAGGGGAAAGAGAGCATGCGAGAGAACGAGAGTGCCGCAGAGAAAGAGCGAGAACGTCGCGAGAGGGAGACGTCGGGTCCGGTGGGAGATAAAGCGATAAAGAGCAGCATGCGCGCGAGAGAAAGAGGTTACGAGAGGCGGAATGAGGGACGGAGAGAGACAGAGAGACAGAGAGAGAGAAAGAGAGAGGGAGGGAGATAGAGTGAGAAGGAGATCGAGTGAGCGAGCGTGGGACGGAGCGAGAGAGAGCGCCAGGATAGGGAAGGAAGGGTGGAAGGAGTGGGGTGGCGCAGGGGTGTGAGAGAGGAACCAGGAAAGGGGAAAGGGATGCTGCGTGTGTTGGCATGGACCAGTGCGTCAACGGCTGTTGCCTCACACGAACCGCCGAAATTATAGTTAGTGACCCCCCAACGGATACTGCGAAATACACTCTCGACTGCCGTCGCCGTAGTGAGACGGAACTGCCACTTTCATATCTCTCGCGGCCAACGAAGATGATCCGAGGGCGCCGCTAACGAGCCGCCGAAGGGGTCCTTCGGGATCGTCGAAGGGGGGACCGTCGTAGATAATCCACCGGCTCTGCCGACCAAGGGAGAGAGACAGAGAGAGAGAGAGAGAGAGAGAGAGAGAGAGAGAGAGAGAGAGGGAGACAGAGAGAAAGAGATCTCGTCGAGGCACGTATCGAGAGGTGGGATCATTCGAGTTCGCTGATAATTCTGTTGGAGTGAAGTGCACGAGAATGACAATGTAGAACCGGCGATCATTTGTTTCTCGCTACTACATCCAAAGTGCGTGATCATGCGGGAGTTTCAGTGCCGGACGACGACGAATCGTGATATCGTGTGACTCTCAATAATTGAGAGCGCGAGTGAAGGAAAAGAGGATACTTCGCCGTCGAGTTTTGTCTACGCGATCGTTTGTGTTGTAGGGAAGCAGCTTCCGGAAAACCTGAGGTTCTCAACGTCAATCACTGAGGTATTCATTCAGGAAGTCATGTGGTTAACGGGCATTTTCTTGTAGCTAGAGTCATCATCATCTTGTTGACTTGTCATTGAAGAACTCTTTCTCTATCGGCGCTTTCGAAAGCTCCGTTGATTCCCACGAGAGCACTCAAGCACAGTTCGCGTCACATTGCGCTGAATCTGGTCGTACGATTTCACCGATCCTCGCGGGAGTTGCAAAATAGCGCATCGACTTGCATCGCGATGCCGGAAGACGCCGCCGGAAGACGGTAAACAGGACGACTTTCGTAAGAGATTTGAATGCGAAGTTAAGCGGGGATCTTAGCTGGCGCGACGCCGTGGGGCATTCTTACGGAGCGCTCTCAGTCGCGAAACGATTTCGCCATTTATTTTCCGCGCACGCCTCCGACGCGAATTAGTTTTGTAATAGGAGAAATGTCGAACTCGTAGCGGTCGCTTTCTGCCGCGATATTTCGAATAATGCGCGACAACGCGATATGCTCAACTACATGCACACTTCAATCGAAGCAATCGATTGTCATTTACACGCCAAATATAATTAGCACGATAAAATTGGAGGAGGGAGAGAGAGAGAGAAAGAAAGAGTGAGTGAGTGAATGAGTGAGTGAGCGAGCGAGCGAGCGAAAGAGAGGGAACATTGTAGTACTGTTGGAGACGAATACGGGCGATGCAAATTAATGGGGCCTAATTGCTCGCGATTTTACTGACGAGCGCGATCGCTTTGCAGATAGATCGTGCCCACTCCGACTCTAATCATCTTTGTCTTATCGTCATTGCGGTGTTGGCTGGCGCGCGGCTCTCGGAGATCACGAGACCGTCATTGACAGGAGGCAACGTGGTAACGTAGCCACGTGCAGTTTGACACGCGGTCGTACGTGCGTAGGGGTTGGGCATTCGTGTGGGGGGTGCCTACCGGCGGGCGTTCTTTTTCCCCTATTTTTTCCGTCCCCACCATCGTGCCGGTCTGCCCCTCCTGGAACCACCTGGATCTGGCGTGTCAGCCCCGGTGACGTGCGCAAAAATTACTGAATGAACGGTGACGTCACGAACCAGCCGCGTGAAAAGTGTGCGAGTCGTTCCTGTCCGTGTCAACCGTTTTCACCCCCTTTCGTTTCCCTTCGCGCGTAACCCGCGCTCAACCGCCCCCGCTCGCTTTTCGTGTCCGTCACCGAAGTGCCGTCGCGAGGGTCGAAGGCAACTCGGTTAAAAGGGCTTTAGTCGCGAGATAACGGCACGTAGAAGATCCCGTTAAACGAATTAAGCTGCGATACGGGATCGTCGTCGTTAATAAGCGACGGCCGCGAAGGTGCCGTCGCGCGGTGGAGAGTCTTCGCTTCGTCAAAGCGATCTTTCGATTCTCCGCTAGCCCTACGTCTCTATAATGTCTTCCGGATACTTAGCAGAGAATTGATTGATAAGTCGCGCATGAATGCTACAACATTGCAGAAGTACAAATTTTTCGTCAATTAGACGTAAGACGACGTATCGTTCACGAAGGACCCGTTTTATGCTGTTTCAGGTAGCCGTGATGTGACTACGATATTAGAAACGACAATCTAGGAGAATAAAAGAGAGGAAGAACAGAAGAATAAGTTCCCGATAGGACTGAGATATTATGTCGGACACCATGACCTCTGCAGATATTAAGAGCGCAGAAATAGGGAACCCGCCGTCGGCTAATTCGCACAACAATGCATGACTCCGCTGGAGCAGCCGAACGGAATCCCCGCCTCGATTCGAGCGTTTATTTCACCGCTAACGTCAACCAAGAAAGCGACTAAAATTAACGACTCATACATTGGCCGCTTTTATTTCGGGACTCGGCAAAAGGCTCCACAGCTGCGCGAAGGATGTCAGGCCGTTGAGCCTGGTCCCAGAGGCTACGCGTCCTCGAAAGATGCTCGCGAGACTTGGTTGGCTCAGCGGGTGAACCGAATGGAAGGATGTTTCATCCGGCGTTCTGACTGCCTATGGATATATTCGGCCGTTGCAACGGCGGCGGCAGCGGAAGCACGGTAGCCGGAAGCGGTGCCGGCCCGGTGAGGACGTCCAGCAACGAGTCCGCTGGTGCTGGTGGTGGCACGTCGAGCGGTACCAGCGAGAGCGGTAGCGCGAGCGGCAGGATGCAGTTGACAGGGGCCTCGGCTCCTGGCGCGGCCGCCTCGCCGGAGTCGGGCGTCTCTCCGTTGACCGACGCCTACACCAAGATGACCAGCGACATTCTCGCCGAGAGGACTCTGGGCGACTTCGTCAGCGAGCATCCCGGCGAGCTGGTCAGAACAGGTGAGCGAGCGTTGATCTCGTTAGACGTTGAAGATGTTGCTTTAGTAAGCAGAAATCGATGTTCAATCATTTCGCGTTGGCTGATGATTGTAGATCGTATTGAGACATTTCATGTTGGTACTGAGACAATCGATAATGATATCAACATAATCAACAACAGTCATATTAATCATATTAGTATGATTATATTAACAAAAAAAAAGGAATATTCGAATATTTCTTCTCGACTTTTTCCTTCATGTGATTAGTTTCGAGTAAAGATAGAGTCGTTAAAGGACGTGTCTTTTTGACTTATAGCACTTATAGATATACGACGTATGCGCTTAGTATAAGTCGCACATTAACGATTTGTGTTTCGTGCCTAACGAAATTCGACGATCTTATGTCTAGGGTCGCCGCACTTGGTCTGCACCGTCTTGCCCGCGCATTGGAGGTCTAACAAGACTCTCCCTGTGGCATTCAAGGTCGTGGCTCTCGGCGAGGTGGGCGACGGCACTCTTGTCACCGTTCGCGCTGGCAACGATGAGAACTGCTGCGCCGAACTGAGAAATTCGACAGCTCTGATGAAAAATCAGGTTGCCAAGTTCAACGACTTGAGGTTCGTCGGCAGAAGCGGTAGAGGTGAGTCGTACGCATGTTGTTACCTGCGCCGGTTAAGGGTTGTTTGTTATCCACTTTCCACAGCGCTCGCTGATCGGGCGGGACTTGTCGCGATGAACGAAACGACGAAGGGCCAAGTGTCGGACGCGACATTTCCTTGCTCCACTTTCCTCTCCATTCATAAAACTCCAAAGTTCTCCCTGGTCCTCGTCGAGCGTGTTGTCGCCCTTCGCGTTTTACGTCCGGAAGAAAACACCGAGGAGGGGCGAGGCGACGGCGAAGAACCCCTTCGAAGAAATCGCGCGCGCGCGCGCGCCGCATAGTAAGGGTAGGTCGCGGACGTCTTGAGACAACCCCCGTTTTTCCTTGGCCCATCATGGAAAAGTCTCGTCTCCGGCGCGGGTTCTCAGGGGTTGGCTCTTGGCGCGGATCGGGGTGGATCCGAGAAGACGCCTTGGGGTGGGTAATGGCTTTTATTTGTCCGCACCGCCGCGCGACTTTCTCTCTCTTTCTCTCTGTCGCGCCGCTCTCTCCTTTGCCACCCGGCCTCTCGCGTCGGCAAAAGGGCGAAACGACGACGAGGGACGCGAGAGCGACGGAGCGTCGCTCGAAGGAGCACCGCCGACGCCTGAGGAGCATCCAGGGGTGGGTGATATTAATTGAGGTTTCAGTTGAGTTTTAATTAACGTTATTAGGGCCGGTATCTCGTCTAACTGCGCGTCTTTTGAGCTCGCGTCAAACGCGCCGTTCTGGATTAACGCAACTTAAAGCGACCGCGCGTCCGACCTACTTCTTATATCAATAAAGTTGCTTGACTCACTTAACGACTTGACGCGTCGTGTGCGAGACGACTTTCAAAATTGATATTCAACGTTGACGTTGACACGCGCGAGAAACGACAGTGACGGACGTCGGGGACGACGGTGGCTCCGTAGACGCACCGTTGTTGTTATATTTTCGATCGTGTCTGCGAACGCAAGACTAATCGCGCGAGAATCAAGATACTCGCAAATTCTCCAGCTAGGAGACGAGGAACTCTCTCCCTCACGGGATTCACGGGAACGCGTCAGTCATTTGTCTGGGATTAGCTCTCAATTGTTTTCGCCGAGCGCGGAATTAACATAAGCTAGGATGAAGAATGTAAGAGAAGTGTCTCTCTCTCGTCAGGATTCCTAACGGCTCCCGGGCTCCTTGAATATTCCCTGGAAACCGATGTACGCCGAACTCCCGCGAATTCTTAATGATCCTCTCGTTTGTCGAGCGTGGAAATATTCGCACGTACGGAATCGTGAGAAGAGGATTTTGTCCTTTCGATTCGCAGGAAGATTAGAAATTCCCTTCAGCCGCTGTCTTTCTCTCTCTTACTGTCTCTCCACCTTTCTCTGCCGTTTTCTTTCTCGCCTCGCGTGTTTAATTAATCCGTGCCAAAGGAAAGTATAAGAAAGAAATTGTTTAAAATATATTATAAATCGCAAGGCTACACGTTTATTTTCGCACCATCGACAGAAATAAGACGCTCGATATAGCCGCCGCGAGAAATTTAAGGGATCGTTAAGCGCGCTCCGCCGACATCGTGCTTTTGTCTTCGCCTAAAACCGCTTTTAGCCCGGACAAGGTTGAGCGTACTGCCACGATAGTCGAGAGCTTTGCAATATCGATGATAAGCCGTAACCCCCTTCCCGCACGTTCGACCGTAATGCCTGCTCCATCACTGCAAAGTCTACCCCTGAAGGTACCGGATTGTTCCCTTCGGCCCTAAGCCCTTTAACGAGATAGATCATTTGCGCGCTTATAGTTCCGACCCGTAGCAGCCCGGGTATCCGTCGACTTTGCTGCCGCGAATAAACCTCCGCGGGAACGTCGCCGATCTTACCAAGTTGCTTTTCTGCAACGCGCCTCTCTTCTCTCAAACCTATTAATCATTGCCCTTGTAATATACAACAACAACAGGAACGGGGAAGGGCGAAGGCAACGTTTGGCGGCGGCAAATGCTGCCGCTCAAAGTTTCGCGGGTTATCTTTGACAAGTGGATAACCACGCGCGGCGATAATCCCCCGCTGATGATTGTAAAATTTCACGTGAGGGGGCGCTGAACGACACTCTGTCAAGGATAAAATCTCACACAGCCGTCTCGAGCAGATTTACATGTGTGTGCAAACAGACGCGCGCACACGATGATTGAGATTGATGATACGTGCGGCCAATTCGGCGACTTTTGTGCACGCGCAATAAAAATCCGCGCGAATACATCGAAGCGACGCGCGCATTCACTCGCCGGAGATGTTAATTTATCGCCCGTAACGCGAGGCTCGTTTCACCGGCGGGAAGAAAAACGGGCAGTCGCTCGCGATGACGGTGGCAGCTCCTGACCGTAATCAATTCGTTATCAGGCTGCAATTGCGCATTTGCGTTTCGTTCGGGGAAAATTGAAATTAATTAATTGGCTCGACAGCGCAGCCGACAGCCGTACAACGCCGGGACACGTGTATGCACGCGTACTTCTACACGCTTGCAGACGACCGTGCTGCTAACGAGCATAATCAGCGAATGGTACGAGTCCCCGACTCTCTTTGCGTCCCTTTTTCTCCTCCCAACGAACTCGAGGACAATCACACACCGCTATATGATCTTAAACGTGACTTTTGACCGTTAAAAAAAGACTCGAGAAATTAGCCCTCCGTCGTTATCGGCCGTAAACTCGTTGCGTCGTGACTCGCGGACGAGAGTCGGCTTTCGATTCTCTGAGGGCGAGTCTAGCCGATTTCGCGTTATCGCGGAGGTAAGGAAGAGAGCCGGCCGGGTCGGAAACAAAGTGGCGCCTCGCTGGGGGGCGGGTTAACAAGGCGAGCGTTTAAAAGATACGTAAGGGCGGCGGGAGTTCGGACGACCTTTAATGGCTGCACGGCGACTGGCACCGAGGGTGATACCCGTGTACCTACGCGTACCTACCTAACTGGAACCATCGACTCCGCCGGTGGAGGTGAAAAGGTTGGCTGGCTGGCTGGTTGGGCAGGGTGAGGGCACGGCTGAGGATGGCGTGACTCGCAGCCAAACCGAAGGGGAATCCCCGCTGGAAAACGAAAAGCTCGCGTGGCGAACCGCCGTGTGGCCACGCTCGACACTCGCCATTATTTCTCCGATGCTCGCCCGTCCGCCTTTCCCGACTGCACACTCGTTTTTTCCCCGCCATCGATCATCTTACGTCATACCGCGGAACTTTTTACCGTCTCTATCGACGCCTCGTGTCCAGGGAGCACGGTTGCGAGAGGGCGGAGGGGGCGCGGTAGTCTCCAGCTCGATGGTTGAACTCCGCGGCGATCGATTATCGCGGCTACGCCGCGGAAAACGTATCTAATGGGTCCGATAGAAAAATACGGTAATGGCCGGGGCTCCTCGGAAGGGTAACGCGAACGTTGTAACGCATTAGCGGGAAGGAACTCGTTTAGGGGCGAATATAAATAACGTAATGTGTTATCTTTCATTTTGCAAACTGGCGGCGGGTAAAAGCGCACTACCTTTGCAGCATTATCGTATCTAATTTCAAAGAAAACATGCCCCGAAGTACATTTATTGCGCAAGAGAGCGCGCGATATGTGGGTTAGTAAGATGATCATTACATTTCCGTCGTGTGGGCTACAGCGAGGGAGAAAGAAAGAGAGAATATGACCGTTTCGGCGGACAGATAAAATTCGCGAAGGGAGAAGGAAAAACGCGTTCGCGCTGGTGGACGCTGCGAGAGGAGCGGGCGGCGTGATGGGCGAGAAAGAGAGAGAGAAAGAGGAGAGGGTGGTCGAGTGAAAATTGCGGTGAACCTCTGCGCGCAACGTTATCACGCGCGCAATTTTTGCAGTGGCGACTCTTCGCGTGCGCGCGCGTTCACTTTTTCGCGCGTTCACTTTTTCGCGCGTTTTATCGCATGCTTGTGCGCGGCCGAATCGATAGCACCGACGGCGGCGGCTCGCCGCGAGTTTTCGCGGCGGAGTTTCGGCGCTTAAACCTCGCGGGATGAAATTGCGGTGTGCCGTTGCACGCGCGCGTCTCGGCTTGTTCGTCTGTCGGTCTGCACGTTCACCCGCCCGCTCGCTTTTTCTACGACATTATTTCGCGCGTAACCGAGGCTTTTTAGCATCACGCGATCTCCGCCACCCCCGTCGCCCAACCCTCCTCGAGCGGCCACCCTGTTCCCTTAACTCGGCCGCGCTGGCTGGCCACCGTCACCGTCGACGACGCCCTCGATACATTACCGACGTGTAATTCGGTTACCGCGGAGTTTCGCCCGGCTAACCGCGTTTGCGAACTTTCGACGCCAGCTGAATAGGCGCGTCCACGAATCGACGTGTCGCGGGACGGGAGCCGACGTTAAAAACGCCCCCCC